ATGTTAACGTTTTTTCCCTCTCCGCTAATGTATAATTTCTAAACTAATCAAATTTATACTTTGTCAGCAAATATCGTATCTCGCACTCAATCAGCATTTTAAATCAGAATTATTAGATCAGAATAAAGTACGAATATGAGAGTAGGAAGTCGACTTGAAATCCGTTTCTTGTTCCAGTTTTCCAAGAAATTAACGCTAGATTTTGGCTTTGTCCTGATGCAGTTCTACTGAGCGATCAGACTATGTGTAAAGAGAAGGAATTTTGTATAAAATATGTTTTTATTAATATGGGGAGTTTATCAGAACATTTTTCTCCCCTCTCTTTATTTTTAATTTGCCGTTATATGAAAAATCAACAACAATCATAAATCCTTTAGAAAAAACCCTTCCTTAGATTCCTTGAACCATGTTTTTTAGATGTTTTTCTTGTCTTTCTTGATAATAAATGGATCTATTTTTATTGCAGTCATTTAAGTATACCCAAGATTCGTCTATTAACGTTTTCCATATTTATCCGCATAAATGTTTCTCATAAAGAATTGCCTTCTGCTTTCGGCGATATGTGGTGGAAAAGGAAGATGCACACTATATTTTTTCGCCTTTTTATGATTCAAATCAGCATTTATCACTTGGTTTGAGTTGACACTACGCATTTCAATGTTTATCCATCCGTGCTTTGACTTCAAAGATTTTCTTTTAACATTAAAGGTCCTACTTTTACAACATTCGAAACATTCCGTTTTTTCCTTGGAAACATATTTGGAACAATATTTCCACTTGAAGCTAAATTTTTTCCTTTGTTGTTGGCAACATTACCAATCGTAACTATAGATATTGAAAACTCATGGCTTTCACAATGTTTCTTAATAACTAGGTAGGAATAATTTCCTTCGGAAAGAACACCGGCATAGCCTTCCATCCATTGCTTCTTTAAAAGCGACATTTTGCATGAAAATAAAACTAAATAGCAGAGGAGAATTTGTACCTTCAGATATATAGCGGCAGTTAAAAAAACTTTCCAGGTGGAAGTTTGTTTTTTTACACCGAAGCAAAATCTTTTAAAAAATATGAGAACATCCTGTGTATTTCACGTCACCAGCATTTAGATTTTTTGCCTTGAATGATTAATTCAGCAGAGTACTTTTTGATTTATCTGCTTGTTTTAATTTCTTTTGCAATAGCATACGCTAACTGTTTTTATACCGCCTTGTTTGCGAGCCAACTGAAATAGTCTTGGACTAGGACTCTATTATTAGAGAAATCAAGGATAGTTGTTAGTGTCTTTGTGGTATGGGGACATTGATAAGACTAATTGAACCGAAGCGAGAGAGTAGTGAAACGGGGAAAGGATTGTGAAACACTCGGATTCATTTCCAGAGAAAGTCTCCCTCGAGTGAGGGACGAAGCTGAGGAAATTTCATAATTTTATCATAAGGTACGCGAAAACTAAAACAACAACGACAGTCCCGATCTTTATCACTATAAAAGTGCATAGGCTTTATTTGATTTACTGTTCGTTGATCTGTTCATGGCCTTGATTTGACGTTACTGTTCGTTGATCTGTCCATGGGCTTGATCTGATGAGACAAGTGAGATAAGCTCCAATAAATGTTTTTTTGCCTGTATTTTCTGCATTTCTTAATGTCGCTACTTAACATGCTTTGTGCTGAGCAGTTGTCAAAAGCAGTGGCTTGGGTAACATTATTATGATATTTATAGATAACAAAACAAAATTTACTTTTAATGTTCACATGTCACTGAAGATTTATGAACTGACGATAATAATTATTTAGTGCTGTATGTTACAAGACGTATTTACATTACTTTTTTTAGTTGATTTTCTTACAATCGGTAATTATTGCTGTTACTTTTTAAAAAGACGAAAACGCAAAAATAATTGTAAACGTAATTTTTATACTTAAAATTGTTTTTATTAGTTATTTTTCTCATAAACAGTTACGAATTTGACGAATATACGAGTGAATATCGTAAGAGTTTAGTTAAGTAAAACAGGTTAAGAATTAGCCAATTATTTGTAAATCATTATATGCTGAACCTATAATTATTAGACACAGTTTTGGTAGGATTATGAAAAGACCCAGGTAAGGATATGTAATTCATTCAATCAAAGGCTAGCGAAAACGTTTTACGCAGTATACATGTGAAATATATGAGTAGTAGATGAGAGAGATGATTGTCATTGTTTTCTATACCGAATTAGATGAGTTTGATAATTAACAATCATATGCTTTCGTAAATCTGGCATATAGATTTCAACGTTTGATTCACGTCATACCATAGCGGAAGTGTATCAGTAGAATGTGAAATCAGGAAAACCTCAAGCAAGTCGTAAAGAAAGTCCAGGCTTACCAAAAGTAAATGTTAAAAGTTAGTACAAACTTTCATTCGCTTAAGATCCCAAAGCAGGACTGTATCTCTGCATTAAAACACTGCAAAGGCTTTTCTGTGTTTGTATACAAGGTTTCTTAGTCGAAGCATTTCAAATTTTCATTTAGCAGCCGATAACTTGATTGATTACGATTGTTTACTGCGAGGCGCGTAGTTCGCTGCAATTTGTAAAATCCCTCCATCACTGGACTATAATGAATTGAACATATCTCACGCATTCAGATAAATTGAGGCTCCAGTTGCATTCTATTGATGGTAAAGTGTGTTGTTGTGTGTATGTGTATGTAACAGAAATGTTGCAAAACAATTAACCTGTTGTGTCAAACTGGTTTTATTAAGCAGCTGATGGCAGTGTAATATCACCTGTATCAATAATATTAACTGTGGAGCGTTTACGTTCCTAGGATTACTCATTTCGTTAGAAAGATCCCTAAACACGCTTAGGATATGCTGATACACTAGTTGAACATGTACACCTATTTATCAGTAGTTTCTGATAATAATGATGTCACCTTTCAGCATAATAATTGGTATTATTATTCAACTTGTGGCCCACAGTTGGTTGCTTTCGTGGTACTCCAGTGAGGTTATAATATTTACACTGTATTTCAAGTTGCCAAATCTTACTCTAATTGAAAATTTGGAATAAGTTGGAATGCTCCTTCCAACCTCTAGAAGTTTTCCAAAGGACTTATAAAAGACGTTTCTGGTATGATGGAAGGAGGAAGGAAATGCTACCATTACGGTTCAACTATCTCATCGGAATGCAGTCGAGGAATATAGATGCTCTTATTTGAGAAAAAAATTGAATCAACTCACTAGTTAGTCAAATTTGCATCTTCAAGTGTTTGAATAGGATTTATATCGCAGTGTATAGTAATTAGATTTTCAATTTCTATATTTTCAGAAGAATTACTCACGATCGTTTTTGGTAATGAAAATAACGTAAAACTGGATTCCAGACCATTCAAATCTTAAATTTTTCTTCATTATAGTATCATAATAATTCTAATTATTTTACAGGAAATTATTTCCAGGAAATTTTACAGGAATTATTTCCCAAGTCGTAAAACATTGCTTTGGAGACCGAATGCCGTCTGCGGGCCGCCAGTTTGAAACCACCATTTTAGAGTGTACGAGAAGGAAAGTTCTTGCCATTGGTGCTATTGATATCATTTTATACTCAGACTACTTGTGAAGTTATTCAGATAATTATGAATATAAACTAAACATGGCAAGCTTTCATGGCACATAAATTTGGGATTACTAAATACTCTGCTCAAGTAGTAAATTTTGCAGTTTTGAATAATTATTTTAAGGGACGAAAGATTAGTTTTCTTGTAATCAATAAAATAAAACTATAGCATTATATTTTCGCACCATATTTTAGCAAATTATATGCTTTACATTCAAAGCAATGGTGCCATGTATGTTTTACATTTAAAAAGAAAGCTGTAAATATAAAATTTTATTGCATTTACAACTCTTTTAATTATTTTATTATAGAGTGTAATAATAACTATTATTTATAACGTAACGAATATCTGGAATGTAAAAATCTTAAAGAAGAGCACGACGTTTCTGGTTTATTACTAAAAGGTAAGTTTTTTGCGCTGTCGTTAAATCCACATTCGCTAATTTAATGAACCAGTACCTCAAGTAAAATTAAAGTAAAATTAAGCAAAAATGAGAAGTACTGAAATAATCTGATGTATATTCTAATATTATGATCTGGTATATACGTTTAGCAAATGAAATGTACAGTATAAATTTGGTGCTTAAAATATTCCTTAAAATAAGGGGGAAATAACCTGAAATTTTGAACTTAAAGAAGAGATAGAAAGAAGTTGAAAAGAAGATTCATGAGTTCTCCTTTTGATCTTAATATTGATGTGAAATTAGAATATGAAAGTAAACAAAACCTGATAAACTTCTTTGTCAAATGTCAAAGCAGTAGTGCATGCACAAGAGATATTAAAAATTAAAAAATGACATAAGAAGTGATACAATCCTATTTTCTGCGTGAAACTGAAAAGATTAAAGCTTCCAAAGCGTAGATTTCATTCGAGCTAAAAAGGTAATTCCTTTGCAAAATTTCTCATAAATGTCACATTCGGCATTTTGATCCGTCTTTGCTTTTGAAAATTAATAAATATAAATTTCGAAAGTTTATTTTAATGCAAAATTTAACATTAATAGCAAGCTCAGTATTTTGAAGAATTTCGCGATCCACATATAAATGATTGACAAATACGAAATTAATGCAAATAATGTATTGATAAATAGGAATAATTATACAATTATTCATTTATGTTGTTCTTAATAACTAAATTTCCTATGACGCAAGAGCAATATTTTCTGCTGTCCACCTATATAAAACAATGTTAAAGGAAATTTAAGAATATTACTTATTTAGAATATTTTAGGGATGTCCATAGAATATTTCTAAAATATTAAATGCATAATTTAGAAATCACAGAAAATTTTAAGGAAAATTTCTGATAACGGCATTCGCTTCTATCCATCTCAAACTTCAAATATAAATAAATACGGAACAAACGAAGTATCCAAAGTAATAAACTAATTCTTACCTTAATATTCTCAACATAGAGTTCTGTTGACAAAACAGGCTGTTGAATCACGTGGTCAAAGAAACCTGAATCTACATGTCTCCCTCAGCGGTAAAAGCAAGTCTTCCTCTCACAGTTAGTTGGTTTCGCGGCAGCGCTCGATGTGATATGCCGCAAAGACTGAACTACAGGCGGCGAAGCGCCGCCAATACTGCTTCCTCATTGGCCCGTAAGTTTGATCCTGCTCGGCAAATCGCTTGAGAGCCGTGATAGATGAGGAGGGGCCACCGATTGAAATGTCCTGGAAATTGGTCGGAAGGATCTGGAGAAATACATCTGAGGTTTTAATACCCACACATTTTAAAGAAAAAGGCTCACGTTGCGTATTGGCAGTGTGGGACATAAATATTTGATTATTTTCAAAGTTTCAAAATGTTTGAAGAGCTTCGTATTTCCATAAATGAATGCAGACAGTTGTGTGAAGTTTTTGAAAATGCAATTATTTATTTTTTTAAACTAAAATATTGTTTTTACATTCAAACTCATTTCAACTTAAGTTATAAAATAGCTTCATTTCAGTAATTATGAATTGAACTTACTCAGTCTAATAAATATAATGATGATTAAGATTTTTATCTGAGATATCAACTTATATTGTTTCTTACCCTTAAAATGTAGATAATAGTTTAATTCTTATTTGAAGTCAGAATTTTTTTATTATTATTAGCAAAGGCATCACCAGTTTTAAAACAATTAATATACTACTTGAAGATATGTTCAATATTTATTTGCGCAATGCAGAGATTTTGTCTACAAGAAATTTGATTTGAAGCAATTATTTCTTTTGAGTAGAAAAAATTATTAAGTTGCTACAAAACTACGAAGACAATAAGGAAAAATAATCACTGAGGCTGAACATTTATCCTTTCGCTTTAAAACTCCAAACAAAACAACACATGTTCACTAAAATGGTATTTGGATTTTTAAATATATTATCTAATGTGTACTTTTAACTAGAGCAATATTCGTTTTCTGAACGCCATTTGGAGGATACATTAGCAAATTAATGTATGGATTAGGCAAAATGTACAGACGTATAAACGAAATACGTAGATTCAGTATAAATGTATATACCGACTCAATATAGGAATTTATATAAATTATTGATGTTTTAAATATTTTTGAAATTTCAAGCAGCTGAAAACTGCAGTTAAGAAGATCTAAATTATTGACACAAAAACACTTACAAATTCTGTTAAGTTTTCAAAGAGAAATTTTTATATCATCATATTAAATGCTTAATGAGAGACAGAAAGGCAGTGAAGGAAAATTCATGAATAAACAAAATTAAATATTGTTGGTAAATTCTCGAAAAGCGTAAATTCTTTATATTTTCAAGACTATATCTTTCATATAATTGGCTGGGATAATATTTTTTGCATTTTTATTTTAACCTATCATTTTATTCAAATTTAACTATAAATTAACAATTTAATTTACAAATTCCATTAAAATAATAAATTAAAGAAGTAAGAATTAAAATTAGTTCACAGTTATTTAATTCACTTATGCTGCCTAAGCGAATGAAATTAATTTAAGAGATTTTTAAACTATGTAATGCCTTAAAATGTTCCAATATGTGCATAAGATAAATTAGGGAGAAAAATTTATTTTAACTTACTTGTTATTTTTACGCTAATTCTTTGCTCTTCTCTCTACAGTCAGACATCACCAGAATGTCAATTAGTTTAGAGTAAAAACATTCAGAACTCATTCGAAAGTTGAATTTTCCCTAATATATCCACCTGTATACCGAATATGGTCTTGATGAATTTTTCAAGGTCTTTTGTACTTGTTAGAGCATATGTTAGAAGCTGCGGTGGCGGCTGAAGCCGAGCTAGTTAGGTTCTAAAATTAACTTTTGTGTTTAAATAATTAAATTTCATTTATCTTGAAGCAATAGTGGTCAGTTTTTATTTAGCATTAGAAGATATGGATTATTAATAACATTTAGTTAAGTTGTACATATTGTCTACATTCTTTGGAATTTTTATCTTTCTAGTAAATATGACAGCCAGAATTAATCTGAAACACCAGAAGATTAGGAAGGTGAAGTTTAATAGGTAACCCGATTTAATCTTACAAGCAAAGTAAAGAATAAGAAAAAAATAACTTGAAAACATATGTTAGGCAAGTAAACGATAATGGTGCCTCATAAAATTTTATTTTTTTTATTATTAATGATCCTTTACTTTTAAATAAATTTAATTAAATCAAATCAATTTGGTATGCTATAACCGGCGAAAATTATCGGCTACTTATTTATAAATTATTAAAATTATAAATAATGAAAATTAAAATTACACAAGGTGTCCCAAGTTCAAGTATACCCAAACCAAACTGAAAAAGTAGTAATTTTGATTTCTATTGATATAATTTAATTATATTACTTTTCTTGCAATAAATTATATTGCTTTCTTTCCCACATATTTTATATGAACTTCAATGCAGTATGAACAATACTAGTACATCTGTGTTGCATATACACGAAACAAAAGCAGTGCTGTAATGAAATTTGACCTTCGTATTCTTTTATTCGGGATTATTACCTTGTTTAGAAAATATCCTTAATTTTATTATGACCTTATATATGACATATACTTTAAAATAATGATGTGTAATAACAATTCGAAAACCTTCTTTAACTTGTTAAGTTAAAACGGAGACCCTACGATAAAGATGCCTTATTTAGACTCAATGATAAAGATTTCATTGAAATAAAACAAAAAAGAAAGTCCCTCCATTAGATTTCTTTTAAACGAAGCTTTCTGTATCGCCTTTTACTTAAATGTCAGTTATGTAATATAAAGTAAACTCCCTTAATGCAACGTCCTTAATTCAGAATACGAAACAGGAAAAGCTTTAGATTTTAAAATCATAATTTTGCAAGATTTCAAATCTCAGAAAGTAATGAAAACTTTATTAAATTGCTTGATGCATTAAAAAAGGACACGCTTACTGGAAGAAAATGAAAATATTCGCCAGCATATATTTTAATATTTCCTTCTCATACGTATCAGGTGACCTAATCCTATAACGTAGTATAACTTTTACAAAGTGTACCTTTTACAACCTATAATGGTCCCTATTAACATATTGATTATTTTCAACGTATGTTCTTTAATTATAAATAAATTACACTAAAAATATTAGCCACGAGAACACTAAGTTGAATTACTTCTTCATAAATTTTAGCTACTTTAATTATGCAAATATTTTGAAATTTAATTATAAAGTAACATTATTCATAACTGCAAATCTTCTGAAATCAATGTAATGCGAAAGAAAACACCAATTTACTTTGCAACAATTGATTCAAATTTTGATAGAAGTTCGAAAACAAGAATAGGTCCTGCTACCGGGAATTCTCTCATTAACGAAGAAGGTTATGGTTTACAACTTATTCAAAATTCAAGGCTTTCAGAAGAGGTAGGAATTTTTACCTTTGAAATCGATATAGCTTTATTTAAAATCTACGAAAAGTTGCTTTTTCTTTCTAATTTTAAAAACTATCTTGTTTATGTTAAGTCCAGTTTTCTACAGTTTCTATTCATTAATATTAAAATGATTCTATTTATTAATATTTGAGTAAAAATCAATTTTAATCAAGGCATCTAACATTTTAAGTGCATTATTAAGTGTGCATTTATTTAATGAAAGCCAATTTCTATATGAATTTTACGAGTGTAATTTCAGAATGACATTATTTCAAGAACTAAAAGAAAACTTTTAATCTCTTGCTAAGAATGAACAAAAATTACAGCTGTAGGGTTTCTAACATACATGTTGAGTTTCTGTTCATCATAGTAACAGGTGATCAAGCGTCCATGTAATACCTTCCCCTTATTTGAATCTAATTTTCACTACTTCTCAATCGCCTTTGACGGCTTAGGATTCAGAATAGGTTAATTTCAAGTGATTCTTTCCGGTTGGCTTATAAGCAAAGGGCCTGGGACCCAAAATCCGATAATGTGAGTTACCAATCACACCAGCCAATTCCGGGAGAAACCTGTTAACTGTATCAATCCACCGGACTGACGTGTTGATTGATTCAGGCTGTGCTTGGGATGATCTCACTTATTTGCTGTTAAATTCTATTTTGTATTGCTGGAGAACCGGGGCATCTGTCCTTCAACCCACAATGTAGCGTGCTCTAGGTTACCATTTGGAAGGGTGAAATGATACCTGATTTTTGTCGCCAAAACAAGAGCCAGTTTCCGCCAAAAGAGTAGCAAAATGTTAATGCTTTACATGTTGTATTATCGATATTTCATGTTCTGGTGGCATACATCATAATAAGATAGGAGGAATATTGGATATTGCCTACACATTCGGATAAATGTATAGTCTGTGAAATTGTATATGGCTGAGAAAGTTGTAAAAGCCGATTAAAAATATAGCATAAAACAATTACGGAATTGTAAGAAACACTAAATATTTTAATATATATTATAAATGTATTATTACGATGGGATGGTAAACCGTTTTAATGCATATGCACATACATAGTTAATGTTATACGATCACTGATACGTTGCATGAGTTACTTGTATTCCTGAATACAGCCTTACCAGGTTATTCCAAGTTTATGCACCCGATGAGTAACTTAACCACTAGAAACAAAAAAGATATCTTTATTATATTTTAATGATTTTTTCCGAATTTCAGACTTAAAAGTTATTAATATAAAAAACAAGATATAGATCTTGAAACTGAGTCTTAATTCAAAAATAAAATTTATCCTGTATTGTATGCATTGTATTTTAAATGAAAAATCTGCAATAAAATTTTGAGGAGATAGAAATATTTAGTATAAACAACAATTATAAGTTTCTTCTCCTTAAAATGATATCTTAAATAAAAAAATTACTTGTCGTATATTTGTAGTTATTTAGTACATTACTACAAGGAAAATACGCAGTTCGTGAGTATCAAAAAATGGGAAAACTAATGCAAACGAAAACTCAATATTCATAAATATTACCATAGATTTATATTTTTAATTTTAAACAAAAATTGTGTATTTGAAATTCAAATCAGTGTAATTTAAAGTCATAAATTATACCTAAAGATACATATCTATACAGT